GCGCGCCAACCTTTCAAAATTTCAATCTTTATTCTTGTCTGGCACAGTACTCTCTTTTGATGCTATCTCTGAGGCAGCTCGTTCGATGCCTCTATCTCGAGTCATTTCACGTCTCAATTGCGCATTCTGGAAGCGGGGAGCAAGACTCTCCATGAGGTTACGGTGTTTTCGTTTCCTTTTTTGCGGCAAGATGGTCCCCTTGAAATTTTCTTTCGTGGCATGTCGGATTCCCCTTCCTACCAACGAATTCTTCTGTCATCACTCGATACTATTCCCATGGGCTGCAGAGCACTGCAGAGCTTCGCGACGTGTTGTCAACTCCTCATCCCTCTCGTATGTCTGTGTTCTCTGGCGACTCGTCGGCCGGCCGGGAACTTTCACAAGACTACCATACATCAACTATCGCGCAAGACCGCTGAAGCGGAAATTTTACAAGATAAAGACAGAACAAACAAAAATATATATATCTGGTAGGCCTGTGGGGGGACGGCGGCCGAACGATAAGGCGTCTACAACCAGTACCAGCTGGTTTCTCCCCGGCGGCGCAGCGATGTACTTCTTGACCTCATGCCGGAGCATAGCCTGCACCGTTCTGTGCGCCTCCTGCAGGGATCGAACCTGTGAGAGTGCCTTTCAATTACGAGAACCGTTGGGCAGTGGAACCGACTACCAATCGGGCCAAGTAGGCGCGAACACACTTTGGAGAGATCAATTATACCAGTGGATGGACCAGGGTGGTAATGAGGATAGGCTAAAACATCGATAGCGTTGTTGGAAAGAATTTTGGCTAGTAGTGCCATGATGCGGGTGAAAGCCAGGTTGGGAACGGAGAGCGATTGCACCGCGCACTGTGAGCGTTCGAGAAACGTAATCGATGCCGCATTTTCAGCATTGCCAAGGGCAGCGAGAAAAAGGAGGGAGATATAGTCGCTGCGTAAAGGTGAATTTTCATTACTTGACTTCTTTTGTAAACATGCGGACACAGTGGCAAAGTGATAGGTGAGACGATGGCTATGGAAGGTTTCCGGGAGCAGTCTAAACACTGACAGTTTGAGATCCTGATTTCCTGAACGCCCTTGGCTCGACTCCAGCTCGATAACATAATTGCGGATCATACTCAATGGGAAAACTCGTTGAAGTGATACTGTCGTTGTTTCTGGATCAGCGATATACTGTAGTAATGATAAACATGCGAGCTCAACTTACCTTGGTGCCGTTCCAGCTTCGGATTTGGATGCGTAACCCATCGTTCTCCAGGGCCCGAAGCGTGGCTGCGATGGCCGCAGTCATAACATCTGGAGGAGTGGAGGAGTATCCGTCTTGAGTAAAACCACCGAGGCCAATGCCACTCCGTGTGAGCTGGAAAGATTCTAACTTCTGCTCGCTACCCCGGTCGTACCACCGGGAAGTGAGCATCTGGGCGACTTCGGCATAAGGTATCAGAGGTCGGCAATCCGGGATTTGGAGAGATCGAAGATGAGGTAAGAACATAGAATCATTGGCAATCTGAAGAAAGAACGCGGATAGGGCCTCCAGGTCGGATGGAATCTTCGAATTCGACAGACCCTTCGAGTTCGAGGATAGATCGAGGACAGAGAAAGTCAAGTCGCGGACTGAGCCCACATATCGTGTCATCATGTCGGCAATAAGTAGGTTGGGAACAGAGAGCGATTGTACCCCACACTGCGAGCTTTCCAAAAACGTGATCGGAACTGTTGTCGCAGCAGAATCGGACTGGTAGTCGAGAGTGATGAGACAAGGAAGAGAAAGGTAGCTGCAAAGGTTTGCTGTGGGTGGTTTGGATACAGGTGCGTCCATGAATCGGAAGGTGCGAACGTGATTCAGGGTAGTCGACATGGAAGGAAGTTCTTCGTAAGGCTTTGATGCCACGATATTGACGGAGAGCTCTTCAAGCAAGGGAGTTTGGTGAAGGATATCGAGGCAGTCGACTACCGTCTGACGACGGAGGACGAGAACAGTGAGCTGTCCCCATGGAAGGGTAACACGTGTAGACAAAGCATCAATCAACTCGACTTTCCGAAGTGCAGGGGCGACAGAAAAGCCGGCAATGGGAACAAGCGGGAACTCTGAGTCACCTTGGAGTTTGAGTTCTTGCAAATGCGGAATGCGACCTTGTATGCGCTCAATAGCAAAAAAATCGGATGAATTCAAAACCACATGCAAAGCTCGCCACCGAGGGGAAAAGGCAAGCACCGTAGGGAGTAGCAGCTGTGTCTGGGTAGGGCCAGAGTTGGATCCAGGAGCAAAGTCGAGATACAGCGGTTTATCAGCTGCTCGATTCAACCAGCACTTGAGGAGTTTGCGCCAGTCAGAAACTTTCGTCTCGCTTTTCCTGGAGAACATCCGCACACTACACCACATAGTAGGCGTGCTCATCACGATATTTCGCCAAGCGCTGCAAACTTGCGCCAGGAAAAGGGGACCAGCGCGGGTTGCAAAGTCCAAATCGACAACAAAACAACTGTGATATTGGCCGCCGCCGGTCAGGCTGTACACGTGGAATTTGAGAATTTCAGCTGTGATTTCGACAGGGAGAGTGAGAATGGGATAAACGATGGCGTCCAGGACCGTTGCTATCGGTTTTCGTCTTGCTCTAAGCTGCTTGATTCGTGCGTAAAGTTGATCTAATTCAGCGGAAATGTCGTCCATTTCAAAGTCAATTGCGGCTAGGCGAGTCCGCAGAGAATCACTCGACAGGCTCGGCAGTGGGCGGATATCTGAGGTTACGGTGTTAGGTTTCGCTGAATCCATGACGTGTCGCGCGAAACTGGAGGCGGAAAGAAAGAAAGACTAAGAAAGAGGTGTCACAGGCTGACACTGGATGTCACAGGTTCAGGGCACTCGGAATATTCCTCAAAGAGTTTCAAGGTATTGGTCATAGTACAGTTGTATGAGATCCTATATATATACAAATTTAATGCGTGTCACGTTCATATAATAGTAGTGCAGCGATGGATGGGTAGTATTATAATGAGGAAAAGACCAGGTCGGGGTAGTATCATGGATCGCAAAACGCTTTTTTGGGTGAGTTGTCCAGCAAGAACGGAACGGACGGCAATGACCAGATTATGGGCAAATCCGATGCTCCAGGAGGAACGACTACATGAGAAGCTTTCAATCGAGGTAGATAGACGACACTGACAACATACTGGAATAGTCGTGGAGAGAGTTCGCACCCAGAGGATCAGCCTCGTCGGCATCAGAATCAGACTCGAATCCTCCCTAGTGTGGAAGATCATGAGAAAGGATGAGCGGAGGCGATGGTACATAACCGACAGTATAGAGAAATTGATCCAATTGTTTGGTGGCCGCAGGAGAACCCTGTGCGCAGAACACAGGAACCGATTCAATCTCTCGCTACACAACAAGATCAAGGGAAAGTCGACAAAGTGAGACGCGAATGCACGCACCAGGGTCTTCGTGTCCTCGTCGCTTTCTTCTTGATCGCTGGTCGACGGTCTGGCCGGAATACGACGAAGTTTGATTGGCCTGCGTGCCAGTTGGTATTGGCGAATACGTCCAAGCAAGGCGAGCTCTGTTCAGAGGGTCAGACAAGACCGCGAGATCGAACGGAAATCGAACCTCCACCATCGTGCCGACGGTTGGGATTGCATGTTGTCGGCTCTATCGTGCGAATCGGGGAATCAGGAGAACCACTGAAAAATAGGGAGTCAAATGAGGACGGTCGGAGGTGAATAGAAAATCGTACCCCTCCGTGTATGTCTTCATCGCCAGGCGGACCAAAGGCTCAAAAACATCTAATATCCAATCTTGAAAATCTTCCCCGCCACCAGTCTCTTGATGAAAAGCCCCGAGGAGGGTGAACCAAACAACCTTAAGGCTCGAAGCTGCGACGTTGAGGTGGTCGGCCAGCGGTGAGGAGGTGATAAGCAGAGCACGAATGACGTGTTCGTTAGCCAACGCCTCTGTCACAAACTACCGAGCCGAGTAAGCAAAACAGAGCTTGAGATTGGGTAGAGAAGATATGTACCTCTGTGTGCCGGAATGGCGAACCATCAGCCAGCCCCTCCGTTAGGTCGAAAATAACCGAGACGACAGTCCAATCGAATTCTAAGATTCCTTTCAAATAGAGATGTTTTCGATAGCCGGGAGTCGAGAGAACCGTATTCCAGGTCGCTTCTTTCTGGGGAGCGGGAAAAGAAGAGCCCGCAGTGCCTTTAGCAGCTTCGAGAAGGGTAATGAGAACGATAGAGCTTGGTTCTTGCACAAGTGCAGGCGCGAAGACTTCGGGACGAGATAGGTGTGAATACTTGATTGCTGCAGCGTCTTTCTTGGAGTGGATCTGAGCAGTCTTTGTGGTACGGGAACGTTTTCGGACATTGGGCATGGTAATGGGCGGGTTGGTGTGAGGACACTGAGGAGTACAGAGTATGCGAGCACAAGAAGAAGGAGCCTGACGCAGTTTTGAGGCGTAGCCTTGCGAAGAAATTTGAAGCACAGGTAGAGTATGAATGGGTTTGGCACGGCGAGATGGTGCTTGAGCTTGTGGTGGTTGAGGACAAGAGAGAGGTGTGACTGTGACTGACGACTGGCTCCCACGCAAGATCATCAATAGCGAGCCCAAAGGGGCAGTCGCTCTGAGGATTTCTAGGATGAGCGGATTGCACCGCAAGCACTTGATAGGTGGTATGGGCTACCGAATATGTATGTGGTGTCTCACATTCGTGGTGCGATTGATTCAAGTTTAAGTGCCATCCGAGTCTGTGAAGCGCGGTTGTAACTTGAAGTATCTGAGGGGATTTCGTATCTGATTCTCTTCGAATGTGAACTTCAAATTGTCTATTGCTAGTATCTACCATGAGAAATATCTGGGCTACTCGAGCCAGGCGAGTGAGCGTAAAAATACGTAATCAAGTCACGGTTAATGCAAATACTCTGCAAGCTGGCCCGGGGATGTCCCCGATTTCTCAACGCTCCAGTCACTAGCACTTGTATCCAATTTTCTGAGATGCTTTCGCGCCTCCCTGGCCCAATTGGTAGTCGGTTCCACTGCCCAACGATTCTTGTAATCGAAAGGCACTCTCGCAGGTTCGATTCCTGCAGGAGGCGCACAGAACGGTGCAGGCTATGCTCCGGCATGAGGTCAAGAAGTACATCGCTGCGCCGCCGGGGAGAAACCAGCTGGTACTGGTTGTAGACGCCTTATCGTTCGGCCGCCGTCCCCCCACAGGCCTACCCCATATATATTTTTTGTGTCTGTTCTGTCTTTATCTTGTTGGTTCATCAAGGTCTCCAGTCGTACTCCTCGCCGGTTTAGACTCCCTTCTCCCAGACACTATACTCAAGCGTCGACCGAGTTTCCAACGTGCTTGCTTTATGTATCTTTTCTTCAGGATTCTTCTTCAATCTTGGGGTGTCTGAATTCTACGTGTACCGATTGCCTTCAATTCGCAGCGAGTATTCGTACTTGTCAGAGGGTGTTGTTACATTGATATGACTAGTGCTACAAATCCAGGTTCATAAGAAATGATAGTGATGTGCAGAATTGAAAGAAGCAAGCCAAGTCCCGCAGATCAACGCCGATGACGATAGTCTGGAAAATATCTGTTCAAAGCCAGCAGCATTGTGTCGAATGGAATCAAGCCAGAATCTATAGAGGATTTGTGTTCTCGTCCAAAGCAGAGAATTTTCGCTTCGATGGTCTTGCAATAGTTGATGAAGGGTAGTCTTGTAGAGATTCCAGGCTGGCCAGAGAGTTGTCAGAGAACATGGACATACAAAAGGGACGAGGAGTCGAGAAGGCGTCGCGAAGCTCTGCGGACCATCAGGATAATATCAAGAGAAAGAAATGCAATGCTAACCTGGCAAATTGCGGGGGGTGAGCGGGCTGCGGTCCGAGGTCGCGCGACCGACGAAAGGGGTGGGTGAGACCGCGAAGTTCTCTGGAGAAGATGGTGGATTGAGCTAATTCGGGATGTTGGCGGCGGCCGAAGTTCAGAGAGACTTATTGAAAACAAACCTCTAACGTGAAGGGGTCCGGCAGAAGGCCTGCTTGAGCGAAGTCTTCCACATGGCTAGACATTGAGGAGAAAATTGTGGTCGTGATGATGCTAGCGGTGTTGGCAGATTCGAAGTAACGTTCGGCGTCATCCGGAACCGCTTCTTGAGATGAAAACTGTAGTTTGTGGAGATGTTCGAGCAGCATCATCGAATCTGGAAAAGGTTAATAGATATCGCATCGTCATTCGATGATGAAAGAACTTGCCTTCGTCTTCTATACCAGCCCCAGTCTCAACATTGGGCTCCTCCTCGTCCTCGTTCCTTGCAAGGCATAAGAAGAGATAGTATGAAGTTGACAACAGGTGCGTCGCACCTTTCTTGATGCTCAAGCGCGATACGTACCAGGGGCTCAAACAAATCAATGAGCCAGGGAAGGGCCTTGTCCATGCCTTTCGAATCTTCCCAAAGCCCTCCAACAAACATAATGAACCCGCTTTTAACCTTTTCCTTCCCCTCACCCCTTTTCCTCGCTAGAAGTGGGACGCCGGGGCGACGAGGCTTTCGGAGTATCTCCCATAACACGGCTTCGTCTAGTAGACAATCCTTGAGCTCCTGAAGACGGCATAAGTACTACCACCACACCAGAATAGCAAAACTGCCCAACTCGATAATTCGGTGGAAGGAAATCGTTTGTGACTTTCAAAAATGTCTTGTATATTGCACGATCCAGTCCTTTTCTACCCTTCTCCCTGCTAACATTGCGCACTGTATTGACTTTTGAGAGGATTGTTTCCCAAGAGTTGAGAATCTCCGGCAACGAAGCTTGGTGGTGGTTTTGGATGTAGTCTACGAGAACCGCGATGAGGCGTTGCAAGGCTGCACGCATTCTGTGTATTCGGTCTTGAAGGATTGCTTGCGGACGATAAAGGCGAGGTTGAGGAATGGGTGGCGCAGCGGTGAGATGATGGAGGTTGAAGAAAGAGGTCGGAGCGTTGAGGTGTCACACCTGGGACCACACTCTTCCCACTCGACCACCACCTGGCAGTACTGTACCTCTTCGTAAGCCTTCCTCTCTGTGTCCTTTGTGAACTCTTCTTCTGGGATGGCGCACGTCTGGAAGTTCATCTGCATGCAGATGTGTTCCCACTGGCAATTGTCTCGGGAATACAAGCTCGCATTTCACTGTGGACCTCATGATCAAGACGACCCAGACCCTAATGCTCACTCTGGTTGTTATTTTGCCTGTATTCTTCCGCCTCTATCTTCCGTGACAACCCGCAAAACGTTGCCTCCATCTGGACTCCTCGACCCTCTCTCCAATCTCATTCGGCATACAGACTATTCTACTGCGGCAAAGCCTCAACAAGCATCAAACTTTATTTTCTCGCCACATTACATCTTTGCATTCCCGCCTGTACTCTATTCCACCCTGCAAGACTGTATGCCATGAATGATAATCTGTAGCTGCGTTGCGAATCCTACTCGCCTGGATTCGGCTCACGACCGGTGTGCGGATTGATCGTCACTCAGGCTCACGCTCATTCGCTTTGTTCGTCTGTAGCAGAGGTGTCAGTTGCTTCGTGCGCTGCTGGAACACGAAGCTTACACCTCCTGTACCCTCGAGGCCTCGCTCGCACTCAGCTTTCGTCGACTCACCACCATCCCCGGTCCGGAATGTGAACGTGTTTGTATCGGGGGGGTGCAAGAAGGCGAAGCTTGAGGAAAGAACGCACTGGCAGGCGCTGTACGACAGTGACAGACTGTGACGAACGTTTGGGGTCACACTGGATCTGGTCCTCTGCGGTTTAGCGGTTCAAAATCTGTCTATTCTATTTGTTTCCCCTTCGCAAAACCATGGGCATCTCTTTCTGTACGATTCTTTCCACACTACCATTTACAGAGGGAGTTCGGTGATAAAACTAGAATTTGCATAAGACATTGCGGCTGCGAACAAGGGATTGACAAGTCCTGATTTATAGCGCCGAAAGCCATCTCTTCATAACCCAAAATGGGGATGTCTTGTGGTAGATCGTGAAGCTCAATCATAGAAATCGTTCATATGATACTGCGAATGAAGTTCGTCCAATGAATGCAGCACGAAAGAACGGATAGGACGTACTGAAGCTTTCGTCTTGTGCCAACTACGAATTTGTATGTCGAGCCCATCGTCAATCAAAGCCTGCAGGGTGTCTGCTACAGCGGTATCAGGGATCACGTCTGAACGATGAATGTCGCGGTTCGAGCGAGTTTCAAAGGGGTCGTCTTTGGGTATCCTTCGAGTGATTCGGAAGGATTCCAGCTTGGGGCTGCTTCCCCGTTCGTACCAGCGAGAAGAAAGCATTTGCGCAATTCGGAGATATGGTATCACTGGGTAACAGGTCGGAATGCGGAGGGATTGAAGACGGGGCAAGAAAGCAGGATCAGTGGTGAGGCGAAACAGGAAGTTCACCAGATTGTCGCGAGGATAGTCATGAACAGAGAAGGTCAGATGCTTGAGATGATTCATGGTTGGGATGAAGACTAGGGTAGCAAACACATCTTCACCCACAGCTCCAGCCGACAGCGACAATACGACACACTTGGACCGTCGAGAAAGGTACACAGAGTTTCATCCTTGTCAAAAATTGTGGAGTCGAGAGTCGTGAGATGTGGAAGAGTGAGGTAGGTGAGAACATCCTCATGGGTGCTGCTGCATCTGAATGCAATTCCGAGGCTGTGGACGTGATTAAGGGTTACCGGTGTCGGCCGATGGCTGGAACGCTCATATGGGTCAACTTCAACAAAAAGATTCTCGAGAAGGGGAGTTTGGTGGAGAATTTCGATGCACGCATACAGAGTCTGACGTTTGAGAGTGAGATGGGTCAGCTGCCGCCACGGAAGAACGATACATGCTGGCGAAACACTGCGCAACTCCACTTTGCGAAGTTGAGGGGCGACTGAAAATCCGAAGCCGGGCGGGGATGGGCATAGGTCTGACTTGGCTCTGAGTTTGAGTTCGTGCAGAATGGGAATGCGACCCTGTACGCCGTCGAAAGCGGAAAGTGTCGAGAGGTCCAGATAGCCGGAAAAGGACCGCCACTGGGCAGAGTGATCGGCTGCCGTAGGAAGGAGCAACTCGGTATAGCGAGGGCCTTTATGAGTGCCCTCAGCAAAATCCAGATACAGTTCATGACCACCCGCTCGCGACAACCAGTACTGAAAGAGCCCGCGAAAGTCAAGGATTGGTCGTGTCAACCAGCGGTTGTCGAACGCCGCCACGCGACACCACATTGAGGGTGTATTTAGCACGATGTTGCGCCAGGAGCTGCAGATTTTTGACAGAAAGAGAGGGCCTCTGAATCTTGCATGGTTCAAATACACAAAGCGAGCCTGAGCGGTAAATCCGGTATCGTTGTCATTCTCGAAGTTTTCGTCGTATTCGTCATCTTCTTCGTCTTCTTCGTCTTTATCGTCTTCATCGTCTTCCAAAGGTTCCATACAGTCGAGATGTTGTTGGAGGATTTCGGATGTGATTTCGACAGGGAGGGTGAGAATGGGATAGATGATAGAGGCCAGTGCGTCCGCAATTGGTTCTCTCGCTTTTTCAAGCTGCTCGAGTCGCGATTCAAGGTGCTCAATTTCGGTATCGATTTCGAGAAGGCGGGCTCTCAGCGCGGCTCGAGAAAGACTAGACCCGATATCCAGAGTCATGGGTGAGGCAGTCAAGTCGCAAAAGTGACTGTGACTGACGCGTGACTCTTTGTGACAGCACATGTTGGCTGATCCGTTGAAGGGCCGATCATCAATAGCAAGCTTAAAGCGGTAGTTCTTTATTCGCGAAGCGACTTCGGGCCCCTGCGGCTGGAGGAGAGATACATTACTCTGGTTAAATTAGTAGAATCTACTTGTGGGATCTCGCTATTAGTGTCAACACCCAGAAATTTTTTCCTCGAAACAAAAAATTGAAAAATTGAATGTATTCTTTTCGCGTTTCTCCTCCGGAGAAAGCGATGGAAATTCTTCACGGTATTCTCGATCACCTAAATGGCGTCCTCACACCACTTACACCTCTTATTCTCGCAAGTTATCGTGCTTCATTTGCTCAGTTGGTTCGAGCATGTCTGCTTCTT